TTTTTCCCCAAGGTCTCGACATATACAGAAACATCTTCTGATGAATCCGATCACACAGACTATAGTGATGCTAATTATGTTCCAGACACTGAAGGAAGTTCCTCTCAGCTAGATGAAGATGAACCTCTTTATCCAACTGCACAGAAGTCTCTGCCTTCTCTGCAATACCCCGATTTATCTCCACAAAAACTAGATAATTATTCAGAAATTTTAAATAAAGGCAATGGTGCCACAACTTTTAAGAAGAGGATCTCAAAAACTCCAAGAAAGAGAAAGCTCTCGTCCCACAGTGCAACAAATAGCAATGAAAGTACACCGAAGAAAAGCAGAACTCAACAGATTTTGGACTCGATCAAAGTGTTACCACCTTCAAAGTCTGGAAGTCGCCGTGTATATGATAAGAGAAACTATTGTTTGTTTTGTCTCCAGCCTACATCAAAAATTGCACGACACCTGGAGACTGTACATAAAAATAAGGAAGAGGTTGCTCGTGTTATACACTACGTGTCTCTCCAAAGACCTCTCTACACACCAGAATCTTCACCAAAAATGATGAACTTAGAATGAGACCACCTGTCCAGAGATAGGAAGAGGAGAAAGTGACCTTAATAGGAGGAACCAGCAGCATTGCTTCGTTGAATATAGTAACAATATCATCCAAATAATTCAAGATAGTAACTAAAAGAATGGATAAGAATTCTCATAGAGAATAAGCGTTGCTCGCGCTAAATTCTGTGTGCGAGTAGAAGCCACTTCTTAGAAGGTGATTTTGTTGAAAGTAAGGGAGGACTAGTTGAATAACCAAGGCTCGTACTTAAGTATATCTCAAAGAAGAATCCCTAACAAGAGCGAACTATATCTCCCCATCATCACCTCACTACAGCGTGAGGGACTTTATTTCCACCCCCATATGTCTAAAAGAGAACCAGTACTGAGTTTGTTATGCACACATGAATCGTATATTAAAACCCAACGAAACCAATACTGATACTACAGCACAAAGAAAAAGACAAAATGCCCAGAAACATGAACGCTCGGATCATAGTGTAGGCCTCACCATTATATAACGTTATAGAGAGACAGGTTATTCTAACATCAGGAAGAATGACCCGCGCGGTGGTAACGTCAATCTAAGCGAATCGGAGAGCACATATAATGGAATAAAACTGAACTAGCGCTGTTATCTTCACTAAGATACGCGTGATTGATCGGAAGATACATGTAGAACTGCTTTACATTTTCTAGCGTAATGATAAGCCTCAATGGATCGATGTTCAAGAAAATTTCAACCCGGTTTGGATATGCTGCAGGTCTTCAAAGAGTTCAAGACTTATAATCATGCCACAAAAACAGCCATGACTTATGACCATAAGATCTTTGGATTACACAAACACCTCTCATAGAATGAAATCAAATGGATCAACGAAGAACAGTACCGATGACATTAATTAGACTGCTACTTAAACTAGTCATCATTAGGCCTCACATTTATAACTTTTGGGGACGGTTCTAACACAAATACACTCTGCTTTAACCTAAGTGAGGACAGTAAATGGTAAACTGAACTAAGGCTACTCATAAGATACTGATGAGAACATAAGACTTACCTGAATGCAGTGTTCAAGTTCACCGGTTTGGTTGCTGATCTCATAGGTAGACTTATCCTAAAAACAGAGACATGACTTGACTTACAACTACAGTCATCATTAGACCTCACACTTATAACTTTTGGGGACGGTTCTAACACAAATACACTCTGCTTTAACCTAAGTGAGGACAGTAAATGGTAAACTGAACTGAGGCTACTCAGAAAAGACTAGTAAGACAAGGCTGCAAACTATTCTCACAGAACTCAAATGTGAACTTGAATCCAATAAGAAGGAGAAGGATTTTGGGCAAAATACATTTATATATATAAAAAAAAAAAAAATGTTCTGGATTTTAATGAATCGATATCACGTTATCCAAGCCAGAATCGATTTTAATCAATGAATCGATTATTAAAACCCACCCATACTAACAACAACAAAAACATCACCAACTACAGTCATCATTAGACCTCACACTTATAACTTTTGGGGACGGTTCTAACACAAATACACTCTGCTTTAACCTAATCCTCCCCTAAATTGACCGTGTGCTTTGTGTTGTGTGTGCCCGCATCTGTGCATTTCATGGCGTCTGTGTAGAAAAGACTAGTAAGACAAGGCTGCAAACTATTCTCACAGAACTCAAATGTGAACTTGAATCCAATAAGAAGGAGAAGGATTTTGGGCAAAATACATTTATATATAAAAAAAAAAAAATTTGTTCTGGATTTTAATGAATCGATATCACGTTATCCAAGCCAGAATCGATTTTAATCAATGAATCGATTATTAAAACCCACCCATACCAACAACAACAAAAACACCATCACCAACTACAGTCATCATTAGTTGCCTCTGCCTTCTCTGCAATACCCTGATTTATCTCCACAAAAACTAGACAATTCTTCAGAAATTTTTAATAAAGATAATGGTGTCATAACTCCTAAGAAGAGCATCTCAGAAACTCCACAGAAACTTCTCATCCCACAGTGCAACAGATAGCAATGAACGTTCACCAAAGAATTGCAGTGTTGAACAGATTTTGGACTCAAATTGTTACCACCTTCAAAGTCTGGAAGTTGCCGTGTGTATGATAAGAGAAACTACTGTTTGTTTGGTCTCCATCCTACGTCAAAAATTGCACAACACCTGGAGGCTGTACTTAAAAATGTAGAGGTTGCTCTTGCATTTAATTATCCCAAAAATTCAAGAGTGAGACATAATAGGTTGAACATCCTTAGAAGATGTGTCCACCAAAAGACAGATGAGAGCAGCACAGGGATAAACCTGCAGGCCCGACAACAGCAGGTGTATCACTCCGCTGGTTTCCTACTTACTGACAGTATTTACATTACAAATGTGCCTTTGTGACATTCATCAGCAATTTCCTAATGTTGTAAACCTGCTCAACATTTGGCAATAAAACCCTTTCTGATTCTGATTCATTAGTGCCCTCACTGACACACAAAACAAAACAACGACTACACAACAGAACAACTACACAAGACAACACAATACACTAAGTAAACACTCCACACTAAACATCACAAATCTCTACATCTAAGAACTCTCTCACTCGCTCGCTCAGTCTCGCTGCCGTTACCGTCACTCCCAAAACTTTCCCTCTTCCTAAACAACCAAATCCCACGTGTTGACTTTTTTTTTTTTTTTTAAATTGGTCGACATGGTACATTTTTCCACCGATAGGAAACGTAGCTTTATTTCCTTTCTTTACTGTTTGCGCGCTGTCCTTAGAAAATGCTTAAAACACACACACACACACACACACACAAACGTGATGACAGTATTTAGAAAAAAGCGTGGCTTATATACAGTGGGGCAAAAAAGTATTTAGTCA